GAAGGGGCACGGTGGTATAAAAGGGGAGGAGGGGGAAAGGGGCGGCGTGCGTGAAGTGTGTTATGTGTGTCCCAAGACCTCCTATGTGTATGTATGTATGTATGTATGTATGTATGTATGTATGTATGTATGTATGTATGTATGTGATGTGGTGTACGGCATGGCTTAGGAGAGTGAGGTAGGCGAACCCCCCGTCGCAATCCTAACAGGCCAGAGGGACGGGGTCCCCGTCCCCCTCCGCCCCCCAACCCACCTCCCAAAAATGCCCCTCCCCCTCCCCTTCCTCCCTGGAGAGGACAATCCCACCCAACCCCCAACCCACCTCACCGCCCTCCTTCCCTCCCAATAAACACACACAAACATATATACACATAAACATATATACTATGTATTATACATGATACGTATACACACATATACATACATGTGCATATATATACATACATACATACAGGGACATACATACACAAGGGCATAGACACTAGGGACACACACACACGCACCTCGGCCATTCTCGCCGCATTGAGCGCCTCGTTCCTGAAGTCCATCTCCGTGTACAGCCCCTCGGCGAATGTGGACAGCAGGCGCTGGTAGTCGGTGGTCTGCGCAGTGAACCGCTTCACGAGCTTCTCGTACACACCCACCGCACGACGCATGACGTACAGGTCCTTTTGCGTGTTGGGGTTCAGGGGGAGGGGACGCGGATTATTGGGGGTGTTAAATGTACTGCTACAACTACAACTACTGCTACTGCTACTGCTACTGCTGCTGCTACTGCTGCTGCCACTACTGCTGCTGCCACTGCTAGTATTCACCTCACCTTGCTGATGGTGGCGAGGGCCTGCGGTCGCTGCACCTTGACCGCCACCTCCTCGCCCGTGGACCGCAGTCGGGCTCGGTACACCTGGCCGGGGTGGGGGTGGGGGTGGGGTGGGGTGGAGGGGTTGGAGGCGGAGTGGGAAGAGGTGCAGGGGGTGGTGGTGGAGGGTGGATGATGTTGTTGATGGTGGTGCGGCTGACCAGTGGGTGAGGAGGGAAGAAGAAAGGAAGCTGAGCGCGCGTGTGGGTGTGGGGGGGATTGGTATGCAAGAGCGTGGGTGTAACGTTTTCCCCCACCTCCCATCAATCCGCCCAGGGATCGTCTCCTTGCTGGTGACACGCTCCTGTGTTTTTCCCCCCTTTCCCCCTCCTCCCCTCCCATCGCCCCACCTTCACACACACATACC